TTCCCCAATTTTCCCCAATTTCTCCCAATTTCTCCCAATTTTCCCCAATTTTTCCCTTTTTTCTCCCCATTTTTTCTATTTTTCCCATTTTTTCCCATTTTTCCAATTTTTTCCCATTTTTCCCTTATTTCCCCATTTTTTCCCATTTGTTCCCATTTCCCCCCATTTCTTCCCCAATTTCCCCCATTTTTCCCCATTTTTCCCCATTTCCCCCATTTCCCCCATTTTTTCCCATTTTTCCCCATTTTCCCCATTTTCCCCCATTTTTCCTTTTTTTTCCCATTTTTTCCCATTTTTCCCGTTTTTTGCAGCTCCCTCCAGCAGCGCCAGCCCCTCCCTCGCAGGTGAGAAATTCGGAATTTTGTGGATTTTAACCCGAATTTCCTCTAAATTGGGATTTTTGCAGGGGAATTTTTGAATTTTTCAGGGGAATTTTGGATTTTTGTGGATTTTGACCTGAATTTCCTTCTAAATTGGGATTTTTGCAGGGGAATTTATGAATTTTTCGGGGGAATTTTGGATTTTTGTGGATTTTGACCCGAATTTCTCCCTAAACTCCAATTTTTTCAAGGGAATTTTTGAATTTCGAAAGTGAAAATTCAGATTTTTGCCAGATTTTGACCCGAATTTCCCCCTAAATTGGGATTTTTGCAGAGGAATTTTTGACTTTGTCGGGGGAATTTTGGATTTTTGTGGATTTTGACCCGAATTTCCCCCTAAATTGGGATTTTTTCAGGGGAATTTTTGAATTTCGAAAGTGACAATTCGGATTTTTGCCAGATTTTGACCCGAATTTCCCCCTAAATCAGGATTTTTGCCGGGAAATTTTTGAATTTGTCGGGGGAATTTTGGATTTTTGTGGGTTTTGACCCGAATTTCCCCCTAAATCGGGATTTTTGCAGGGGAATTTTTGAATTTTTTGGGGGAATTTTGGATTTTTGTGGATTTTGACCCAAATTTCCCCCTAAATTGGGATTTTTGCAGGGGAATTTTTGAATTTTTCGGGGGAATTTTGGATTTTTGTGGATTTTGACCTGAATTTCCCCTTAAATCGGGATTTTTGCAGGGGAATTTTTGACTTTGTCGGGGGAATTTTGGATTTTTGTGGATTTTGACCTGAATTTCCCCCTAAATTGGGATTTTTGCAGGGGAATTTTTTTAATTTTTCGGGGGAATTTTGGATTTTTGTGGATTTTGACCCGAATTTCCCCCTAAACTCCAATTTTATCAGGGGAATTTTTGAATTTCGAAAGTGAAAATCTGGATTTTTGCAGATTTTGACCCGAATTTCCCCCTAAATTGGGATTTTTGTGGGGAATTTTTGAATTTTTTGGGGGAATTTTGGATTTCTGTGGATTTTGACCCGAATTTCCTCTAAATTGGGATTTTTGCCGGGAAATTTTTGAATTTTTTGGGGGAATTTTGGATTTTTGTGGATTTTGACCCGAATTTTCCCCTAAATCGGGATTTTTGCAGGGGAATTTTTGAATTTTTCGGGGGAATTTCAGATTTTTGTGGATTTTGACCCGAATTTCCCCCTAAACTCCAATTTTTTCAAGGGAATTTTTGAATTTCGAAAGTGAAAATTCGGATTTTTGCCGGATTTTGACCCGAATTTCCCCCTAAATCGGGATTTTTGCGGGGGACTTTTTGAATTTTTCGGGGGAATTTTGGATTTTTGGGGATTTTGACCCGAATTTTCCCCTAAATTGGGATTTTTGCAGGGGAATTTTTGAATTTTTCGGGGGAATTTTGGATTTCTGTGGATTTTAACCCGAATTTCCTTCTAAATTGGGATTTTTGCAGGGGAATTTTTGAATTTTTCAGGGGAATTTTGGATTTTTGTGGATTTTGACCCAAATTTCCCCCTAAACTCCAATTTTTTCAAGGGAATTTTTGAATTTCGAAAGTGAAAATTTGGATTTTTGCCGGATTTTGACCCGAATTTCCCCCTAAATTGGGATTTTTGCGGGGAATTTTTTGAATTTTTTCGGGGGAATTTTGGATTTTTGTGGATTTTGACCCAAATTTCCCCCTAAATCAGGATTTTTGCCGGGAAATTTTTGAATTTGTCGGGGGAATTTCGGATTTTTGTGGATTTTGACCCGAATTTCCCCCTAAACTCCAATTTTTTCAAGGGAATTTTTGAATTTCGAAAGTGAAAATTCGGATTTTTGTGGATTTTGACCCGAATTTCCCCCTAAATCGGGATTTTTGCATGGGAATTTTTGAATTTCGAAAGTGAAAATTCGGATTTTTGCCGGATTTTGACCCGAATTTCCCCCTAAATCGGGATTTTTGTGGGGGAATTTTGGATTTTTGTGGATTTTGACCCGAATTTCCCCCTAAACTCCAATTTTTTCAAGGGAATTTTTGAATTTTGAAAGTGAAAATTTGGATTTTTGCCGGATTTTGACCCGAATTTCCCCCTAAATCGGGATTTTTGCAGGGGAATTTATGAATTTTTCGTGGGAATTTTGGATTTTTGTGGATTTTGACCCGAATTCCCCAAACTCGGGGTTTTTTTCCCCAGAGCTGTGCTCGGCGCCGCCGGTGCCGGGGCCGTGCCGCGCCGCCTTCCCGCGCTGGTTTTACGTCCCGGCGGAGAAATCGTGCCGGGAGTTCACCTACGGCGGCTGCCGCGGCAACGCCAACAACCACCGCGACCGGCACGAGTGCCTGCGCCGCTGCCGGCCCCGCGGTGAGCCAAAAAACGCCGAATTCCGCCCAAAAACCTGCCCGGAAATCGGCCAAATTCAACCCAAAAACCTGCCCGGAAATCGGCCAAATTCAACCCAAAAACCTGCCCAAAAATCAGCCAAATTCAGCCCAAAAATCTGCCGGGAAATCAGCCCAATTCAACCCGAAAACCTTGCCGGAAATCGGCCCGAAAATCAGCCCAATTCAACCCAAAAATCTGCCCGGAAATCGGCCCAATTCCACACGAAAATCTGCTCGGAAATCGGCCCAAAAATCAGCCCAATTCAACCCAAAAATCTGATCGAAAATCAGCCCAATTCAACCCAAAAACCTGCCCGGAAATCGGCCCAATTCAACCCAAAAACCTGCCCGGAAATCGGCCCAATTCCACACGAAAATCTGCTTGGAAATCGGCCCGAAAATCAGCCCAATTCCACCCAAAAACCTGCCCGGAAATCGGCCCAATTCAACCCAAAAATCTGCCCAAAAACCGCTGAATTCCGCCCAAAAACCTGCCCGGAAATCGGCCCAAAAATCAGCCCAATTCAACCCAAAAATCTGATCGAAAATCAGCCCAATTCAACCCAAAAATCTGATCGAAAATCAGCCCAATTCAACCCAAAAATCTGCCCAAAAAACACTGAATTCCGCCCAAAAACCTGCCCGGAAATCGGCCCAAAAATCAGCCCAATTCAACCCAAAAATCTGCTCGGAAATCGGCCCGAAAATCAGCCCAATTCCACCCAGAATCTGCCCGGAAATCGACCTAATTCTACCCAAAAATCTGCCCAGAAATCGGCCCAAAAATCAGCCCAATTCAACCCAAAAATCTGCCCAAAAATCTGCCAAAAAACGCTGAATTCCACCCAAAAACCTGCCCGGAAATCGGCCCAATTCAACCCAAAAACCTGCCCGGAAATCGGCCCAATTCAACCCGAAAATCTGCCGGGAAATCAGCCCAATTCCACCCAAAAATCTGCCCGGAAATCGGCCCAAAAATCAGCCCAATTCAACCCAAAAATCTGCCAAAAAACGCTGAATTCCACCCAAAAACCTGCCCGAAAATCAGCCCAATTCCACCCAAAAATCTGCCCGAAAATCAGCCAAATTCAGCCCGAAAATCTGCCCAAAAATCAGCCCAAAATGCCCCAATTCAGCCCAAAAATCTGCCCGAATTCACCCGAATTCAACCCAAAAATCTGCCCGAAAATCAGCCCAAATTCAGCCCGAAATTCACCCCAAAAATCAGCCAAATTCAGCCAGAAATTTGCCAAATTCAACCCAAAAATCTGCCCGAATTCACACCGAGATTCACCTGAAATTCCCCCCAAAATTCAGCCCGAAATTCGCCAAATTCAACCCAAAATTTGCCAAATTCACCCCAAAAAAAAACCCAAAATTCATCCCAAAATCCGGCCAGGCTGGGAAAAAAAAACCGAAAATTGGGGAAAAAAGTCACCAAAAATTTAAAAAAAATCACCAATAAT